AACAACGAAATGGCGCGGGTTCGGGTCCATCCTCCCGCGCTTCTGGAGTGCTGCTCGTGGAGGGCTCCCCTGTGCTGCTCGGTAGTCAAGTTCGCTGCCAAATACCGGGTCAAACAGGCTTCTGCTTCACAGGCCATGACCTAATCCGATTTGCGCTTCGACTCAATAACATGGAAGTCAAACTCCAGGGCCATTGTCTCTTGCATGTGCATGTGAGTGAGAGTGTGACTTAACAGATTTGCCAGGTCGTCTTAAAGGATCCAAGGATGTCTTTCACCCACGCAGCTACCCAAACCTCTCCAACCCTTTGATCCTGTACCTATCGGACCTATCGTCATGTTATAGCATGTTATAGCTCTTCCCATCCTGCTTCAACGGTGGCTTGGTGGTCATATCTTGTCATAATATGGATTCATATGGAGGAAGCTAAACCTGTACGTGCTGAGGTTCTGCCAGCAGCTGTGAACCTGCCAGTTGGATGTTTCTCGTCTTTCAGGATAGCGGAAGCGGATCATTCATAAGCTTGCTCCTTCTGCCTGCGTGCCCTGATGCCAGCCAGCTTCTTTATGCCTCGTTACGATTATTTGCCCGCATTGCTTTCAATATGTGCTCTATCAAAAAAAACAAAACGTGTTGGGTCGGGTTGAAGATTGACAAAACGATACCAAACGCACACAATAGACATACTGCAGCATTGATCCGCCCAAACGGGCCACCCGCCAGGGTTCCGCACAGCCAGCCATCTGTGAAGACGGTGTAGCGCTCTTCAGCTTGGGCGCACCGCTCACCTCCCCGAGCAACTCTCTCGCTGCAGCAGGGCAGCGACTAAGATGCATGATAAATCATGATAATGTTGACCTTTGATTTATAAACGCCCCTAGAATAATGTCACTTTTTTTCCTGCACAGATTTATAAAGGCCCCCAGAATAATGTCTTCTTTTTTTTTTGGGAGGGGTAGTTGTAGTGGGATATTTTTTATTGTTATAGTTTTCTTTTTCCCTTTTGAGTTTGCTGGGATTTGCTTATCTTACAGGCTTTTGGATGGATATTTCTATTAAACAGTTGGAGATTTCCATTGAGATTTGATGCTTTTG